ATTGAATTTCGGCCGGATTTAAATTCATCTATTTTAACCGGTTAAAAAAAATCTTTAACCGGTTAACATGTTAACCGATTAATTAACCGGTTAAAAATTAACCGGTTCCAACCTCTATCTAAGCCAAAAATCCGACCGGTGGTATCCTTGTTCATGTAAAACCGAATCAAACCGAATAATCGAATCGAATTAAACCTGTAGAACCGGTTGGTGATGTTGTGTTGAACATATAACCAAATATGAGCAAGGTGACGAAAGTCAAAATTGTCCAATATAAAATGTATTTCCTTAAATTTATTATTGAATTTAACTACAAAGTTTTTTATTTGTTTTACAATAGCTTAATTTTTTGAATTTATTTCAATGACGTAAACTTATCAAAATTTTATTAATACTAGTGGAAAAGTTAGCATATATTCATTCAGTATATATAATAATCATTTTGTGAGATAACAAAGCATCACATTCCATTTTTTCGAATATAATAAAACCATCACGCCACGTTTGCTTACATATACCAATAGATTTCATTGTATATTATAATAAACTATATATTGTCTTAGTATTCAAGAATTAAAAACTAAAATTTTAAAAAACAAAAAATTACCAAATATAGAACTAGTTTGTGCAATCAAATGCAACAAAAAATGCGTATTTTCCATTGCAACCGGTCATCTAAATCGGATGCAACCGGTTTAACAGCAAATCGAATTGTTATATCCGATTCCAACTTTCTACGTGAATCTTGTCAACTTTCACCAATCTAAATTAAAATAAATACAAAATAAAAACAAAGGAGGTACATTATGTGAAGGAATCTAACTAAGCAAATAATTAAATATTTTTTTGATTCATTACACCAAATACGATGGTAATAATGACTATCGTGTGTCCAGTTTAAGAAAAATATAAATGTTAATTTTGGATGATCGGCTAACAAAAAAAAAAAAAGTAAATTACAAAAAATAAAAAATAAAAAATAATTAGGTGCTTTATTGAATAAGTTCACATGAATGGGATGCAACGTCGCTAACGAGATCAACGAACGGGCACTTTTTCTATAAAAATTTTAATTCACGCGTAAGATTTGCTCATCATTTGATCATCCGAGTTCAATTAGCCGTTTACCTTGGAATCAGTATCGCATGTTTTGATAATTTACAATACTTTTCCAATATTTTTTTTTTTATGAAAATAATTTTAATTTAAAGTAGAATTCAATTAGTTATTAGTCTTGGAATTAAATCATCTACTAAAAATTAGTTGTATGTCGAAAATGCGAACATCAACAAGTTTTTAAATTCATGAAAATGTGAATCTTAAAAGCACTGTCATTATTATTCTGCAACGTTCATTATCATTTATGATACTAGGTAAGAGAAATTGTCTTTACGGATGATGTTCTTCATGTATGATTTCTTTTACATATATTTACACAGATAAGTTTTAAGTATATTAATGTTTTATTAATTTTTTTTCCTTTTTATTTAAGCGCTCAATATATGGCAAATACCTAAAAATGAAATAAACCTTTCTTGCCAAAAGATGGAACTATATTGATTGAAAAGGAGTTTTCTATAAATCATTCGAGATACTTGGGAAGCTTGGGAGATAAAATAATTTCAAAGCCTTTCCAAATGCTTACAAAAGCAAACGCGTTGAAAGGACTCATACTCATATCGATGATAACTAGAAACCCTTTTACGGATGAAACTGCCTTCCAGTTATTCAAAAATACTATAACGCAAATGGTATAACAGTCCCAACCAATTCGTCCTATTATAAAATCATGTCAAACCCTCTCCTGAGCGTATTTTTCACAAAAGGAAAATCGAGCTTCTTTGTTTTAAGGAATAATGTCAGGGACATTTATCTGAAATTCAACGTATGCTAGTTTCAACAAGTAAAGTTTGCTAAGACATTACTCAGAACAAATTGCACAATATCCATCGAATAGTCCTGATATTAATCCCATAGAAATCCTATGGAGTTAAAACAACATAAAAAGGAGATGCCAAAACCTCTTGAAGAATTAAGGACTTTTATGGTTGAGGAGTGGATTAATATTCGGATTCTATTATAAAAAAATTTAATAGACTCAATGAGAAGACGATGTGAAGCAGTTATTGAAAGGAATGATGAAATTCCCTATGAATTATTTCCGCAGTTTTAGATGAACTATTTTGGTAATTATTTGCTTCATTGATTGATAAATTTATTGTATAATTTTTTTTTAATTAATGAAATTGATTTTTAGCAATATTTGCAGCAGCGGTGAATAAAATAATAATTTGTTTTTGTTTTTTTTTTTTCCGATGATAGAAGAAATTTTCTAATTTTTAAATTTTTAAATCCGAATTTCGATGAGGTTGGTTTATTTAATAGAAAAAAGCTTAATCAGCATCAATTAGGTTTGACGCAAGGATTTTTAATACGCCTCGGGCCTTTCTAAAATAATAATAGCCGCACTTACTGCACTAAAAAAATAGATTCAATTTTTTTTTGTTTCAAGATAATACATTATGCTTGATTTTAAGAACTATTTAAAATTCTATATTAATAATAACAATTATTTGATCGTTTAATTTTGCGGAGGTGCATGATGACAAATTATATCCAAAAAATTTTCATTGCGTTAGCAAATTACGCCGAAATGATCGGCAAGCATTGTTCCGAATATATATATGATCGTTTTCAATTTTTTTTTTTTCAAATATTTTTCCCCCTTTTTTTTTTTTAAAAAAAAAAAATGACTTTGTACCTTCCTGCTGAATGCCTAAATGAAATTTTTGAATATTTGAAAAAAAGGGATTTACTCTCATGCTTGTTAGTGAGCCGTCTTTGGTGTAATGTCTCTGTTCGAATTTTATGGAGAAAAATGCCAAATTTTAAAACTTTAATCACTTTTCTTCCAAAGAAATCCAAAGCAATTTTATATAATATTGGGATCATAATATCAACCTCAAGACCTCCATTGTTTAATTATACATCTTTTATCAAAATTCTTTGTATTAATGATCTTCATCGTGCAATTATAAGATTTCTCAGAAACTATCCTTCGACTCCAAAAAGAATTTTTAGTATTATGATAACACGGGAAATGTTTAAAATGTTTATGAATCAAACCTCTTTGAAAATTTTATATTTTGAATTTAACGTAAACGACAACATCCCTAATATTCCATTTACCGCTTATCCTGGAGGAAAGGATTGTTTAAGTAATCTTTTTGAATTATCATGTAGTTCAAATTTATATCCTGAATTTTTTTATCAGATATCTCGAATTTGTCATAATTTACAATCACTAAAAATAACTTTTGATTATGAAATCTCAAATGGATTATCGGAATTAATTTCTGTTCAAAAAGATTTAAATTACTTGGAATTGGATTATAAAGATTATCATTCAGTTGAATCAGAAGAATATTACAGCTTTTCAGATGAATCAGATGAATCTGACTTGGATTATTGTAGAAATCATTTAGATGAAAGTCAACTACTAGCAAAAATTCCAAACACATTAACCAAGTTACACATTGATGGAAGACCTTGTCACATGCAATTGTCATTTATTTCTAAGCTCTCAAATTTACAAGAACTTTCATTATCAATTATTAGCAAAAAAGGATTAAAAGAATTTAAAAATCTTCAACATGTTATCTTTCCACAATTACAAATTGTAACTTTTGAATATAGATGTCCCAAAGTTAGATACCTGATCAATTTCTTAGGAATCAATGGAAAGAATTTAAAAATACTTGATCTTGGCAAAAATGATTCTTATAATAATTCATTAAATTTAGCTATAGCCAATTTTTGTACAAATCTGAAATCCTTACGATTTACATATACCAATACACACTTGAATTATTACTTGGATTTACTAAAAGTAATTTTTAAAGGTTGTGAACAATTAGAAAGCCTTGATTTTTTGTGCGATGATGATTGTGAAGACTATATATTGGAGCGTGAATTCTTGGAGATGGTTGTAGAATTTTCACCTAAAAAATTTCACGAGTTAAAGTTAGAAATGGGATCTTACGTAGATGCAGATACGGCATTTCAATGGGGATTTAAGACTATCTTTAAACGCTGGGCGAATCGTGTGCCATGTATTCCACTTTCTTTAACTATTATTACGAAAATAGAATCGGAAATTATTTTGGATAAAAGAAATGAGAAATTAATTAAAAAGTATAAAAAATTGGGTGTTATTAAAGAAATTAAAATATTCAATGAATCACTCGAATATCATAATCGTGGTTGTCATTAAATAAATAAACACTTTTAGGATGTTTAATGAAGAAAAATTATAAATTCTGGGTGGGTGACTCGGAAAGTGCGTTTGATAAGCGCAATAACTTGCAAATCCAAAATTCCAAGAAAAAGCGCAATATTTATTTCTTTTTTTTTAAAAACGACATTTTACTTATTATAGTTATAAATCAGTTTTTTTTTAATATGTGTTAGTTTGAATGAATGATTTTATAAAATTTAAGAAAATGTAACAAATCTAATATTAACAATCATGTATTAAAATGTGTGGGATAAGCTTCAAAATGAATTTAGTTATTTATATATACATAATAAAAGATTAATTCAAATATAATTAAATAGATTATTCTTATAATTTCCTTTAATAAAACTTTAACATTATAAATTGAATGACCTTTTGATAACCCTGTGTCAACATAGTTATTCGACCTCTCCCATACAATGATAATTATTCATTCCTTGAGAAGACACTCGTTTAAATTAATTTAATATGCTCACGCTTCCTCAAATCCATCTAGAAAGGAGGAATGACGAAAGGAGGAAACGTTGAATAGATTTGGTCTCCAACATGTAAAATTAGTCTAGTATGATATGTTATTATAATGAAATGGATAAGGTGTGTAAATGTAGGTGTGGTGGGTAAAACCGTTGGATAAAGTAGGTGGTATCATATGATTTACTATGTTTGTAATTCGATTTTAAACCTCTAATTACTGAAGTGATAGCACCAACAACAGCACGTGTACCACTTATATTTACCCGTGAACCACTACTCTGACCGCAACTGCTACCACCAGTGACAATATTGTCAATCGGTGGAATTGTATTTGTAGCTGGTGTGATAGCTGGTGTTGAAATTTGTATTGTTGCTGTATAGTCATTGTTGCTGTTATTTTCATTGTTTGTTGTTTTATTTCAGTTTTTACGTTGCTTACCATGAACAGTAAATATTTTTTTCCTTTATTTTTTTTTTATTTTTATTAATTATATTGATAATAGCAACTTCAATGACCTCGTCTGTTAAAATACATGGGAAATGCAAGAATGAGCGCGAGAAGAAGTAATTAGTGTACTTGAAAATGAACCAATCAATACCTACATCGAAATAATTCTAGGCGACTTCAGTTAAAACAACACGTTTTTAAGGAAATGAATATATCAAATCTTTAAATAATTCATCCGCCATCTGCAACCATAGTCCCTTGAAAATTATGAAAATCTAAACAATACAATGAAAAAAAAAAATCACGCATTTTTTTGGATTCCATTTTCTTTTTGTGCAAGAAATTGGTAAAATACTATCATAGGGTTGGATTTTAACGGACTTTATAACAAATATTATTGATAAATTTATATATAGGAGAGATATAAATAAAATTGTTAAATTAATTCCATGGTAAATTTTGAAGATATTTATTACTTGTAAAATGCTTCTAATAATCTTTCTCAAGTTCCTGTTCAGTAATGAAACTTACCTTATGAAAAATGGAATCATACAATTTATGTACAATTATTGAAACTTTTTTTTGCAAATGTTTTACATAAAAATCGTTACAGAAAGAAAATTTTAAAGTTTGAAATATTACCAAAAATGTACGGAACGTTGCATATAAAAATTTAATATGCACTCCTTTTTTTGAATGGAAAGTTTAATATTACTAAAAGTGGATAAATTTCTAATGTAATTTACTTCCTGGCATTTCAAATAAACGTACGTGCAAATACAATTCAAGGTTATAAATAACTGTGAATTTCACAGTTTATTTTCCTACTATAGAAATCTTCGAAAAAAAATGAACGTACAGGTTCTAGGTTATTCAGTTTCTCTATATGGCACACTACCCAAATGTAACTTTCTTTTAAAAAAGAAATTATGTACCTTTATTTTAAAATAATTCATCCATGTTTCAAAAAACTTTAACATTTTTGGTAGCTAAAATATAAATACAATTTTATCTAAGGATTATGGTATTTTACCAAAAAAGACGAAAAAAAATATTTACGACAAACGTGACGTAAGGGAGGTAATCAATAAGATCACCTAATCATCCGGGGCATCTAACTCATTACAAATTATAAGATGGCGTCCGTCCTTCCATCATGAAACAAATATTTATTTGGCGTTAAAAAAATGTTTATGGCTATGCTCCTCTGCCTCTTACCTGATATTCAAGAACTTAACCGGCTAATAAAACCAACCCCGCCACACCTTGGCGCATAAATATTTTGTAATGTTTTATAATTTATTAAAAAAAAAACGAGGTAATAATATTATTTGAATAGAAAATAAAAAAAAAAAAAAGTACAAAAAATTAATGCACAGAAATTCACATTTTTCGTTCCGAACAAAAGTGTCAAATATCGAAAATTCAAGCATATACCCATTCATTCCTGTCAGGTTCGTAATTGGAATCGTGGACAATCCTAGCATTTGGGATATCCCAATTTCGCATTCCGACGAAATGATCATTTCGAACATTAACGCATTCAGGAAAAATGTTAATAAATATCTTATTTTCATTAGTATCTGAGCAAGAAACGAAGGTACCATTTTAATGATACTTTCTGGACATATATATATATATTTGTACGTTTTCTGAACGTTCTTTTTTTATGACATATAAATAGTGTATATAAAAGAATTTACGGTCATAACGAATAAAGAAATTGAATCATCGTCATTACGTTACATCATTGTCGATGATTTAATATTCTTTGTCAAGTATAAATAAGTCCTGTTTTCGCAAGTTTGAGTAAACAAAGTACAATGAGTGCCTCAAACAGAAATGCCCAGACCACGAACTCATCAAGGACATCGGGTCAGGTCTCAACTGGGAACGCAAGGGTTTTACATCCATTTTGGAACGATCGTACCAAGGAGATATCGAGAAGTTTGTGGTTACCCACAAGGACCGGTTCTACCGCTTCGCTTTTGTATTTGTCGAATAGATCTTTGTTAACCATGACCCAAAGGTGGTGGTACTCAGTTCGGACATTAACGTTGATGACACCGAATCCGGTGAGCTTGCCGAGGACTTATTATCAATCGTTACTATCTTAATGGCAAGACACAATGGGCTCAGATCAGCCAAGAATCGAAAACGACGAAGAGAAATTGAAAAACACGAAAGATACTGATTTATCCAACTCCCGAAGAAAGAGAAAAGCTAAGAAAGTGGATGGGAACCGTGAGGTGGACATACAATAAAGTTCTTGAGATGGTGCAGGAAAACGGGATCACTGACATGAACGTCATACGAGAGCTCTACCTGAACAATAAATGCTTCATTGAAGAATTTTCATGGGTAAAAGAGACTACGTTCGTACGCGATCTGACAATTGATGAACGCTTACAAAACATAATAGAAATAACTTCTTACTCTATTGTTAACGGAGGGTCAGGTTTTGGCCTGAATTTGGAACTTGAACTTTTATGGGATACGATATGACTAACTCTGTTTATTCATGTTGGATTCAATTTCAAGGGTCATAACATTGATACGTAATAATCATTTGATATCAAAATGATGCTATGCTATTTAAAGCATTAATTTAGACGAAATTAGAAATATTTACACAGCCTTGTCCATGTATTGTCTACACCAACCATCAACAATTTACGCCACACAATAACAAATTGCAAAACGCCAGTATAATTATGTCAATATTTTAAAAGCACAGCCATATTTTCTCTTACTATTTAAATGAATCGAAGAGAATTAACTAAAAAATTTAATTTCACATTGAATCGTTTAAAACCAAAATAATTTTAAGAAAAAAAAGATATTTCGTTCAATATGAATATAAACATAATACTTTTACGAAACATATACATTACTATGGAAGTTGTTTAACATTCAAACCCTAAATCCATTATGAAATGTATTTAAATATATAAAACTCCACCTATCAACATTTCGGAAAGACATACGCGTTCTTTCACGGCATAAGATTGGATTCCACTTTCATTAATAAAAAGATGCCATAAAATTTAAATGGAAGGAAAAGTTAACTTTTCAAGATATTTGATTCAAAAATTAATGATGCACTATGGAAGATATGATCCAATCGTCTAGAATTCATTTGAATCAACATAAAATCGAAGAATCACGGACAAGAAATTATCCTCTAGAAACATTATATTTTTAATAAAAGAAGGAAAGGCCCGATTTGAATGCTTCTATCGAGAAGAATGAATTGTTTCATTTTTTTTCAAGAGGTACTTCGTCCATTTCCACCTTGACCAAGCAAATATAAATTAATAGCTGATCATTTCTGTTATGAAGAATCAAAACTTTCGATCTCTTTCAGGAAGCATTAGAATGTAAAATAAATCAGCATTAACAAAGATAAGCGATTAACAAATGTAACATGGATATATTAATTATATTGGTGGATTTTGTAATTGGGGCAAAACCAGTCTTTACTCTTCCAAGAGAATATTACTGGGAAATTCTATGTTATGTTGAAATAATATAGAAACATCTTCCTGAGATTAAGAGGACGCTACGTAACATTTGGCGCCTCCAGCAGGATAACGATGCTAAGCATACGAGCCACGTAGCTAAGGATGTCCTGCAAAAAAAGTTCCAACTGTCATGAACTGGCCATCTAACAGTCCCGACTTGAACCTATAGAAAATTTATGGGCAATTGTTAAAAGATGCGGCAGCCACAAAATATTGGGAATTTGGAAAATTTTATGGAGGAATGATCAACAATTCCACAGGACATTATTAAAAGTCTAGTTGGTTCAATGAAGGAGAGATGAAGACAAAACTGTAGATGTACGTGAATGCAAGTATTGTTTCATTAATGGTGCATCTGCGCCATATGGCGATGCGTTCCTTGGGCTAATGTAGCTTATAATTGAGAAAAATGGGGAACGCATTCCCTATTAAATTTTTTTTTAATAAATCTCCTGGCTTTTTGGCTTTCGAATGAATATTTTTTCATGTGATTTAGCGCGGTCGTTATGAAGCCAAAATGTTTGTCCAAAGACTTTTGCACTAGACTGTACATCATTGGAACAATTTCGAAAGTTTTGTATGTATTTTTTTATAGTCGTGATTTAAGAATGGCAGAAATACTTTTATTAGTGATCAGACCGAGTATCATTACATAATAACTTTCATTTACTTGTTTTTTAAACCTTTGTTCGAAGATTGTCCAATAAAAATAAACCACTATCTTCACGTAAAATATAATCTCTCTTTAATTAATTTGTTTTTTTTTTTTATTTCAACAAATAGATTCATAATTAACACTAATACTTGTTGCTCGTCAGTTATTTCATACTTTACTGCGTTGTAATTAAAAAATAATAGAACTTTTTATATATTATACTGTATATATATATATATATATAAGTTCTAAATTTGAGTCGCCACAATTTTATATTTGAATTATAGTAATTTTTTTTTATTTAAATATTTTTGAATTACAAACCGCATTATAGTTATAATTAAAATTTTAAAATATAATCACAAAATTCTACACTTCTTGTATCTTTGACTTTAGAATAATGTACAATAATTTGGAATAAGAAAACACAAATGAAAGCTAAAAGAAATATTGATAATAATTATGAAATAAATATAAAAAAATCTTTAAAATTCATGAAAATTCGATAATGGCAAATTTTTCAAACATGTTAATTAAAATTATATAATTTATGAATCAATTGTTCATATCGGCTGATTGTAAAATTGCGGCAATTAATATTCAAGCATAACTGATGGGCATACTAATAAATTAAGGCGTTCTTTTTCAGTTCAGCCTATATGTTAAGATAATTTTTACTAGCAACGCATAAATAAACTACCCAATAAGGATAAATATAATTGCAAAGATGTCGAGATAATTAATTTTCACTTGAAATTAAGAATTGATGAGTAAATAATTGTTTAGTTTCGAAATTTCTAATATTCATATTATATATTATAAAAAATTGCATGCCCATTTTAATTTCGCTTTGTTTAGTACAATCAAATCCTGTAATAATACAAATTCTTTTAACGTTCCAGATGGAATATCCTGACTGCGTATAGTTTACAATTCTTCAAATAAAGTATTATAAGATTTGCTTCAGTAACTTATTGTTGGTCCTTTCATATGACTGTTACCTTATAGATTGATTGGAAATTTATGTAATTAAGAAAGTTTACATTTACCAAGGTCCTTTTCTTCATAATATTAGTTTCTAATTTTAATTATTTTTAAGATGAAATTTTAATAACTAATAAAATAAATGTATACAAACGTGAACTATAATATATGCTATTGATTATTGTGTAAGTGGCAGGTGATAAATAATTTATCCTCGGCTAATTGGATTATTAAATTTTTATTTATCCATAATTGGCCGGGGATAAGTAATACACTGACCAGACCAGACCAGATAACGTTGTTTACCATATTTAAATTTTGGGTTACAGTACGTTTCGCCGAAACACGATCCGCCGAAACCCCCTTTGCCGAAGCCAATTCACCGAAAGGACATTTTGCAGCAACTTCGCTGAATGTCCATTTCGCCGAATGGACCTTTCACCGAAAAGAAGTTTCGCCGAATGAACATTTCACCGAGAGGACGCTTCGCCGAAATGACGTTTTTCCGAATCCGTTTTACCGAATGGACACTTCTCCGAATCCGTTTCACCGAAAGGACATTTCGCCGAAAACGAAAATAATTCGCTGTTGGTTGTTAGCAACTTGCCAGATTTATTGAACTTTTTTTTATTATTTCCAACGAATTTTTAAGAAAAAACTTACTTTATAATGTAGAACCTAAAAATGATAAGTTAAACAAATGTTACGCAGTAGTCATTTTCGACGAAATGTCCTTTCGGTGAAACGGATTCGGCGATGTGTCCGTTCGGCAAAAAGGATTCGGCGAAACGTCCGGATACCAAAATTTTAGTCTATTTACAAAAAAAAATATAGATAATTTGGCACTGTTAATTATTATCTTATTACCATGAAAGACAAAAATTAAATCAAAATATTATCACCTAATTTACAAAAAAAAAGCTATAGAATACATTGCTAAAGTCAATTTTCAATTGAATAAGAAAAATTTCTCTCGTAAAACTCAATCTTAAGATTAACTTATGAAACAAAACTCAGAAATTCATGTTCACAAATTTCACCAGAAATTTTAAAAACAAAATCTAATTTTTAAATAAATTTATAAAGTTGGAAAATGGTCTTTTCAGTCATTTATGAAGTTTAATATATGAATTTTTTAACAGGGTACCAATATTGCAGAAGGTGCAGCATTTGCGGTATATAGAAAAATTAGGGATTTGTACAAACCGTTTCGTAACCCAAATAGTATAAGCATGTGCTCGTGTGGTCATATGATTCACAAAGATATTTAAACTCATCATACTTAAAGTTGGATTCAAAATTGAGCACACATACTTTCAGTTGATTTTATGACATGGTACATTGCTTTGTCTTTTTATTTCTAATCATTGGTTACGAAGAAAATACATTAATACAAACTTCATTTCTGGGTGACTTTTTAAGAAATAACAAACGATACTGTAAACATTGCCATCAAGAAAATAAACCAAATATTCTCGATGGCTAATACATAAGATCAATCCTGTACGTAATCGGCTATCAGAAGAGTGTGTTCGTGCAAATAAAACAACTAGTTTGATGATATGAACAACGACAAGACAATAGAAATTTTCAAGTGGTTTCACTCTAAGAAAGTGCTGAAGCATTTTGACTACATACAGCGAGTACTGACATGTCTTACAAAGTTAGTTTCCTTCCAAGCACTGTCGAATTTCACAGGAATATGAAGGGTCGTACAAGCATAGGTGTTAATTAAACACCAATGCACAGCAAATAATAATTACATGCTTGTTCACAATCATCTAGAATAATTATAAATCGGATTCTAATTATGTAATAATCTTCAGCATCATTTACGTATATCATTACGTTAACACCCGAAAGCAAGAAAATTTCCATTCAAGAATGTATCAAAGCGATAAATTCGTGCATTGTTTTCTCCAGATTCAAGTTTCATGATAAATATAAGTTATTTTACGTATTATTTACTTTAATAATCATTTATAAATTTTATTCAATTAATTGTATTTTTTTAAAAAGGTATATATAACTTGTGGAAAATTGAAAATGCATAACTATTTTAATTGTAATGTAAAAAAGATTTTTTTTTTTTTATGCTTATGATCCCAAAAAATTTATACATAAAATAGACAATTTCGAGCATCATATATATTTATTTTCCATTTAATAATTGTTAAGTTTAAAGCCAATTATTCATCTTTTTTTAATAATAAAATGCAAGAACCATTTTAATCGTAAGTTCCAGAAAAAAATTTTATATATAATTTATTTATGTAATTTAAATCGGGTGTCACTTTCAGATGCGACTATATAAGAATGTAGTATGCAAATAAAATTTCTTGTAATTTATATCAATATGTCAATGAAACCTTTTTTGGAAATATTTCATTCTCAGTGATTTCAATTAAAACTAAACATGTTGTAGTTTGAAATTTTGTTTTAAGCAATGACCTTTTAATAAAGATAATATTACGATGTCCTGTCGATGCAAATTAAATCAGAGGGCTCCTCTATTTGCAATATAGCGCTGAGAATTATTCATGTTATAGTCGTAGTGCAGATATTTCAGCAATGTGCTTATCCACGTTACCAATTCAATTTATACATGTATTAATACTTATGTATTAGAATTTGATTGGCATTTGGCCGGCCAAATTGACTAATGGCCAAACCTCGGCCAAACGGCCAAAGGCTAACCTGGCTTATGGTCTATAAATTACGTAAATGATTCTGTCTAACCGTCAGTTGGAAATGAAGGTAAATTGCGGTATTTGTTCGTAAACAAGAACTGTGAAACTAAAATTCATAATCTTTTAAAAATAAATAAATAAATAAATAAAGATACGGTCGATTTCCTATAGTCACTCGGAGATCAAATAAATTGGTTATATGATGTGACTATAGGAGGATTATTTAATAATCTTATCATTAAATGCCTAACAAAATGTGCTTATAAGGGAGGAGTGTCTATATAGGAGGTGGTGACTATATAGGGGCCGACTTGTTCGAATGATCTATATCTGTAAAAATCTCATGAAATGCTCAATGACGAAATATCTGAATGTACTTAAACATTATAACAACCAAATGTAAAATGTAAATTGCACATATATGCGTGTATCCATTAAAAAGATTAAGTTTGCATAAATCTATTATTAAATCATGATATTAAAATTTGAATCACCATTACGAGTTATAAAAAAAATGTGTGGAAAGAAAATTATTCTGACGGAACGAATTATTTGTAAACTAATATCGTCAAATAAATAGGAGGGGTCTTTGGAAAAGAACATATGAATTATCACATGAACAAATTTAAAGCAACTTTTTGTTTTAAAAAAAAATTCTTTTTTCATGTTTTATTAAAAATATGGTTAGGGCTTTTTTTTTGACATAACAGTTTAAGTTTTGTGAAACACAATGAAATTGAAAGAATATGCGAATCAGTTTTTGAAGATAGTTAAGAAATAGTAAGAATCCATAAATAATTAATACTACAAAATTTTCCGAAAGGTTTCGAAGTTAATAGTGTATAAGAAGGAATTATTAGTTGTACTATACATTAATTATCTGCTAATAAATCTAAGAAATAAATTTAGAAGTCATGCTTATAATAAATAGGAAATATTTGATGATCAGGTTACACATAAATGTCGTTTAACATAAAAAATTTTTCACAAAAAAAAAAAAAAATAAATAAAAATAAAACTTTAACACAGAAATATGGATAATAACCAAGAAGAATTATATGGGCTATGTTTTCATTGTAAACAACCAAAAAGTCATTATGACTGGTGTCCTAGATGTGACTGTCAAAAATTGATTGATGAATTTTCGAATTGGACTAGCGTAAATAAAGACATTGATGAATTTATTCAAGCTACTCAAAGAAATGCAACCTCATATGCTTCATATTTAGAATGGATTTCTTATTCCAGACTTGAAATCGAATTTGATGAAAATTGGTTGCTTGGAAAGGCATCTGCAAAGTGGAAAGATGGTGAAAGGTTGGATGATTTTTGGTATACCATCAATACTCAAAGTCAACGTTTTTCCATTCAAGTTACTATTAAATCTTTTGATAAGAACTATTTTAAACATATAACGAATTTTGAATATTTTATGAATGAGGTAAATATACTTTTTATTACTTAAATTTATAATAATATTTTTTTTTTAATTACAATTAGAATCATCTTTAACTTTATTTCAATAATAGTTAAAATTCCAACATCAATTTATGACATGTGGTAGAAGGTTCCATAGATTGTATGGTGTTTCTCAGGATCCAGAGACAAAAAAAATATTGTATAATAACTTCACATGCAGCTGATGGCAATTTAAAAAATTATTTACAAAATAATAAAATTTCATGGTTGGAAAAAATAAATATCCTTGACTATATAATTAATGATCTTGCTATAATTCATAAACTAGGAATAACTCATCGTGATTTACGTCCTAGAAATGTATTGATGAGTGGAAAATTGGCATTTCTTAGTAATTTTGGCTTATGCAAATATGTTAATATTAATTTGAAATCAACCTTAAAATCCAATGAAGTAACTGAAATCTTGCCATATGTAGCTTCTGAAATTTTAAGAGAAAGTATGTATACTCGATCTTCGGATATTTATAGTTTAGGTATGATAATGTTTGAGCTTGGAACCGGATTACCTCCATACGATAATGTGCGGATTGATAATTTTATGTTGGCTATAGACATTTGCAATGGATTTCGACCTGAAATAACTCGAGAAATCCCACCGGCTTATCATAAAGTAATGAAAAGTTGCTGGGATGCTGATCCGTTAAAGCGTCCTGATATTATAAAATTACAAGCTATTTTTCAACGATGGAGACAAAATCCTCCGCACTATATTTTAGAACAATTTGAAAATTTGGAGCACCAAGTTGAAAGTATAAACGTTGAAGATACTTTTAGTGAAAAGCTTAGAATGAATTATGATAGTGAACTATTAGATTTAAAGATTCCTTCTGAGCTATTAATTAGTGGTAAGTAACATTTTTAATCATCCTATTATAAACTACATATATGTTAAAGTAATAATCTTATTAATTTTAGAAAAAAATGATTTTACTACGCATAATATTTAAGATGATAAATATATCATTACATCTTAGCTTTATTTAATTTTTTTTTTAACATTATAATGTTATTTGTTGAAATATATCTTAAAACTATTTGACAGACGCGCGTCATCTGAATATATAGAAAATTTTGTTCCTAAATTTGGAAGAAATTACGTATTTAAGATGTAACTAAATAAACACGAGATTTATTAATTTATTGTTTCGCGCCGTTAAAATGCAACTAGTGTGTCTCATAGAAAACAATTGCAAAGCATTTTGGTAACGGGTTATAAAAATAATTTGCCCAAAGCAATCATGATATTTAATTGTGAATATAAGGAAAAACGTGTGGAATGGGTTCATACGTACCTTAATGATAATTGGAATAAAAACATTATTTTCGGATGGAATAGACTTCCATTATTTTTTTTTGTTTTCGACAAATAATGAAAGGCTCCTATTATGTTGAAATTCTTGAAATCCATTAATCAAAAAAAAAATGATTGCGATTTCAGAAAGATAATGATCCCAAGCATACATACTAGTGTAACAAGGGAATTTATTGACGCTAATATGTCCATTGTTATTGACTGGCCTTGATATTAACCCTATTGAAAGTCTTTTGAGTATTATCAATAACAACGTAAAAAGACGGCAGCAAAAAATCTTGCTGAATTGGAACGCTTTATGGTTGAAGAGTGGCTAAATGTTCCGGGATTATTCCTTTTAAATTTTTTAATAATAAAATAAAGCTGTGTTACATGATTAAATGTATGCACGATTTTGAGATTTTTTTTTTTTTTTCGAAAATTTACCATTTACTGGAATGGAGTAATGTCGGTTTGAACTAGAACCCGTTTATAATTACAGAACCCGAATTCGACTCGACCCGATTATTGTTTAACCGGATTCGACTCGAATTTTAAGAGTAATATTATGCCGAAAATACAACTATTAAAAATAATGCATTTATTTATTAACAACTAGATTCATATTTTTTTTTTAATGCATTGTTCTTTTATTTTATTATTATTCTCACTATTATTAATTTTATTTTTTTAGGCTAGATAGGTTCATTCCTTTGGCTGGAATTATTGGACGAAACAGTATTTTTGTTGCCGCAGCATAGGTTTTTGACGAATTCTTTGATTTTATTGGTATTTATCATTTACTTTAAATAATAACTAATCATTATTTTTTTTATTTTATTTTATTTTAATGTTTTGTTCTAGCTATTTCGAACGTAATATGAGAAGGTGGACAAGATCGATTAGGATTCTTTTGTAACCACATCTATTATACAGAAATAGGATTAATCGTCACGCAAGTATAGAATTACGGAAGTAAGATCAACCTTTGTCTTCTACCATGAGTATTCAATGGGATCTATTTAAAGGTTCGAAAAAGAATTAATGTATTCTAATCTTTTATACAAAAAGAAGTTCATTACATCAAAGATTCTTGTTTAATATGATTCATTTCTTTCGCAATATGTTATTTCTAGGAAATAATGTATTATAGCGAATGATGTATATTCAGTAGTTTTGTCATAAATTAAATTATATTTAGTATATTACATTAATCGGATCTAAAAATTATATTTAATCATTTAGATAAATGAATATTCAATTTAAGCTCTAATTTGTATAATATCTCATTATTACAAAGATCTTGAAATGTTTTTAATATCATGATGAAATAAATTTCATTAATTGATATCGAAAAATAATTTGAGCATAATACATTTTTTTAAAAAAAAAGGCAAAGCAAAACCAGTCCAAAAGAATTGATTATTTCAGCATTCATCAATTATATTTAATATTTACTCATTAATACTTTTAGAGTGGTTGAAAAATGTCGAATATGTGAGTAATATATTGAATTAAAATAAAGATGATATCAACTTTACATCGACAATTTCCAAATGTAAATCAATCACATGAAGTCGACGATCGACTAACGTTAAATGTGTAACAAATAATATAATTTTTACACACATATTTGTTAGGGTAAAAGACGTGCATATGAAGTTGTTGATATTATAATTGTTGAGCTTATTATGACTGTTGTGACTAAGACTATTGTTCTTGATAATAATGTTATTATTGTTATTAACTTGTTCTAATTCTGCCTTAATATTACGTTACATTGAACATAATTTCCCGAAAACTCCATAATTTCGTGCCAATATGACAAAATGTCAGGATGCCAGGCTGCGGAAGTCCTTAAACAACTCAATATATCACGCTCGTTTATTAATACATCACATTGCGTTATTATAGTGTTATTATTTAACAATTATTGTTTACTACTATATCTATTACGCTACGTTATTATTTATTTTACGATTATCTTTTTTTCTTATTCGCTTTCGCCGTTTTAACATTTAAAATTTCGTATTTGTTACTTCGTTATTTTTATAATTCCGATTTTCTTATTATTTTATTATTCAAATTTTCGTAATTGCGCAGTTTTATTAATTAGAGAGTTTATTGATTGGCATTTATTTTGCGAAAGTACAGAGCGCCGATGTGAGACAGCACTGATTAATTTGATATTATTAAATAAATTTAGCGTCAAGATTACTTCATTTTTACTCAATAATTACTCAATAATAACCTTCAGCTTACATTACAAAATTGTTTATAAATACATAAACGAAAGAACTGAATACAACAATAACTATGGAACCTATTAATCATATGGAAGCTGTGGAAGAACTATTAAAAAATATTAAAAGCAGCACGTTAAGTGAAAAAGTTATTGAAGATATCAAAAGGAGTATTAAAGAACTTAGCGAGATATCAAAGACTTTTGAAAATTATCAGAATATCGTTAATTACGACATCAAGTTACGTCAAGTAGCAGATTACTTAATCAACGAGAGATTAATAATTTCTCAGGAATCTGAGAATCCAGATATTAGCAATGATCAGCAGCTTTTTTGTACTTCCTTGAATTATTTAAAATTATTAGTTAATGAAATAGCTTATCAAAAAAGAATAGATATTATACAGGATGTGTTGAACTCTTCTTGTAAAAAAGAAATCTTGTTTAATAATGCTCGGTCAGCGGATGAAGTTAATAAACGCTACCGAAATCTCTCGTTATATTTCCATCCAGATAAAACAAATCGGCCTAATACCCCGTGTTCCCTTCAAGGTGAACATAAAAACCTAGTATTGAACTATTTAGATATATTACAGCGATTAAGAATAGCTTATTTACCAATTATGAGGAAATCTTAAGTAACGAAGGCTGGACGTTTCATAAAAAAAATGCAGACGAATTCTGGAAAATTACGATTGACTACCGTAATGCAGCTAAAGGACAGTGGGATAAACTAAAACTACTAAAGAAAGATGAAATCTGTAAATTTTCTTCTGAAGAACTGGAGCATAGTAGCGTGAATTATGGATTGCTAGCCTATCAGGAATATAGAATGGCATGTAAAATTGTTGACAAAGCTAAGCAGTTAAAAGATCAAGTAAGATTACGAGGAAGTATCGCGTTATGTTTATATGTATCTAACAGACTTTTAGAAGCTCAGTTATATGCATTGTCAGCAATTAGGTTACAAATTAAGAATTCTCATAAGGTCACGTTGCATGATTTGAACGAGGCAAAAAAAATATTTGATAAAGTTAGAGGTAGGAATACTTACGAGGAAACTCCTGAATTAAGAACGGAGATTAAACTGAAAGTTAATTCTAATAACAAGCAGGCTTTAGTAAAATTATTGGATCAAGAGATTTCTTTTTCCGACAAAAAATCTTATCAACGATCAATTGATAATGATTTGAAAAAAATAAGTACTGATTTAATGCTCAAAGCGGACCGCAGTTTGGTTCGTTATCAAATATCAAAAAATAAGATCTTGCATGCCAAGAATCAAGTTTTTAAACTTAAGGCTATAGGAGGACTTTTTACGACAACTGGAGTAAGTTTAGGATTATCGCTAACTGTAGATGCTGGCATCGAAACCTATCAAGCGATCTTGTTGGGAGTTAGTACAGCCGGTGGTATAATTGGGTTGGTAATTGGATTAATTACCTTTGGTTTAGGGATATGGGCCGGTTCAAGTCTATGGAAAAGTGGAAATATCCTGGCAAAAGTGCCAATTATTCTCGAAAATCTCAATAATATAATGAAGAGCGCACTTACAGCTTATGATAAAGGCGATCATCAGCAGTTTATCAATGTGTTATCTGAAGAATATAAAACAGGTACCCGTCTTATAAGGTTAGTCGATCGTTCAGATGTAATAAATTCTAAAGAAATCATAGAGACGCTTTTAAGATATGGTTTCAGACCAGATGGTATTGCCTATCTTTTAATTTTGCTTGGTGAGGTCTTGAGTAGCGGGAAAATGAAAGTTGGAGGAAGAACAACGGAGGAGTTGGTGCCGCTAGCAAAGGACGTTCTTTCTGGGATCAGTTCCAAAAAGCTCGATGAGATGGCCATAAAGCTCGATGAACGCATTCGTGAATTACGAAAAAAGAACAGGTTTAAAATTTTCCTTGATAGATTTATGGATTTTGTTAATCTTAATGAGTATAGCAACATAGCTAAGGAACACATGGATGACGCTCAACAAATGCCCTTTAAATCAAGGTTAGAAGAAATGCGTAACATTGCAGACATTAATCTGGCAATTTTTGATATAATTAACGGAGGTGAAGAAGAAATTCAACGAGCTAAAAAAACTATTGAGAAAATTCGAGAAAAGAACAACCGTTATAGTTTTGCTGAACTGCGCTTAGAAGTTTTGGAAGATTTTTTATCGGTCGTTTGTGGTGTAGAATCACCTCAAGAATTTCCTCAAGATTCATTCAAATTACCTAAAATCACTTTTCCTATGGAATCTGAAGTTCAATAATGAATCATCGTTGTGGCTTAGGATTTTATCTCTGTGATTTTTCTTTATGGCGTTACCAGCTTACTATATATTCTAAATTTATATTAAATTTTTATATTTTATTGGAATGGCAAGAAGTTAGTTCTTTTTATTGTAACTACTATTATACTCTTGGTTGTACAATTTAGTATCAATATAATAAAGACTCGCGCCATTTAACCTTATATTTACGTTAACCGTCCAGCATATGTAATCAGCGAACCGTAACACATGAATTTCTGAACTGCAAACTTGAAATGAATTAATCAAAAATAAATTTGCTGTGATATAAAATATCAATCTTTAGAAAACAAAGTATAAGTTACATGATTATAAATTGATCGACCTTCACGCCTATTGTAAAAATCGTATTCGTATATCTTACCTCTTAATTAAAACTGAGAGTTAACATGCGCACGAACATCCCTTGGTCCAAATTTGAATTGGTGGTTTGTTACTAAAATCGAGTTATAATGATATAGCCGACTACAATTTTTTGCAGGCGAGGCAAGTGTATTTAGGAAATGCCTAAATTCTTTATGCAAGATTTAATTTACACTATATCATCAAGTTTTCCGTTATCTCGTCTAATATTTTTTTATGTAAAGAAAAAGAAATTTAAAATATTTTTCATTTTCTTTAAGGATTACCAAATCTTTATTTGCAGCGAATCCCCATGTTTGTTTCTCGACAGCCTGAACTCCAAAGTAAAATGAATATCATTTACACTTGATACAGATATTCCTGTAGAGACTTTCGTTGAAATCGTTATCATCCACAAATTGATGGCTGATAGATTAGACCTTTATGTCGATTAAACTCATGTCATGTTATAAGAACATCGGAAATTTCTAGCAATTTATTGGAAAAGGAAAACGATAAACTTTCTAAATAAAAGTTAAGCAAACAAAAAGCTCTTCGGCAATTTTATGCCTAAAATGTCGTCCGGGTAATACAGTGAACCATTATTCAAAAGTTTCAAGAAGCTTAGATGACAAGGAACCAAAGCACTAAGAGCTAGATATATACTTGGATATGCAAGTTTACAATAAGTTTGGCGAAATAAAAGTGTTTGAGAGTATGTATTTCCACAATGACAACAATGACATTTATCACCAATTTGGTATGTAAAAGGAATAAACATAATTGGTAAAGGGCTAAATTTTAATTTAGTAGTAGAATCAAATAGTTTTTTCGTATATTCCATATCGATAATATGAAAGTTTGACTTGGAATTTGAATTTGAATATTTCACGACATTTTATATTTATTACACAAGAATTTTAACAAATGGCAAGAAAACTTAGCAAATGATTTAAAAGTGACTTTTTTTTTTGTATTGCTTCTCAAAAGTAATTAGTTTAAAGTAATACACATTTGTTTGTTCAACGTCAACTTTAACTACTTGACAAAAAAAAAAAAAAATACGAAGAGAAAATTTCCCGAGAATCTTTATTTGAATAAATTTACCGTTATGAAAGAAAGTACCCGGACAGTGAATAATATATATAAAAGCCGTTTCAATTGACGTAGAGTTATCCATAAAAGAATACTGTACGTTCGTTCCGGATACGAATAATTTAAATTTGTCTTATTTTAAAAATAAGTATTTTATCCGAGTCAGAGTCGTAGAGCCATAAATACTATGTCTATTGTTCTCTGTGAAATAGTGAACTTTTTTAATAAAATAAATATTTATTTTATGAACTTCTTCAAAACAAACCGTTAGAAGATAATTTCGTCAAATTTTCACCATTATTTTTTTCGCTTTGACTAATCTCTTGAGCATTCATGAAAGCTATTAATTATTCCCGTTTTGTTATCTTTATATATGATTAACGTCTAACGTATAAATTTCAACGTATAGGAAGTATTTAATGAAATAATATCCATTGTGGTGATAGGGCTAATCATTTCGGATGATTATTATTTATTACGATTTTTGAAAGAAACTTTTTTTCGGTTAAAAAATTTGATAGAACTCGAGTTTCAAAATGTTTCCTTAATGAAAATCAAAAGTTTCGCGACTTTATTACTTATCAGATATTTCATTCCGTTATTAAAATAAAATTATACATTTTTATCACGCTTTGTGGCGCAGCATGAATTCTCCAAAAAAAAAAAAATTGACATCGTGAATGTTTGGTAAATTTTTTATAAGTTGTCTCAGATAAGGATGACATATTAAACGCTTCAGGATTACAAAGATATCGAATAATACCTTACCCATTTAATTACTGTTACTAGATTAACTTACTCCTTAAAAAATCTACTTGTTACAACAAATACTCAAATAACTGAATTATCAACTTTATCTAATTCTTTTAAATACATGTCCTCTATGATAATTTATTAATGATTTAAGTTTGTCAAATTAAAAAAAAATCAGCGCGAATGAACGGGTTATCCTATACATTACGAAGAATAAATAAGGATAGTAATTGAAAGGCTTGTGCAGTGCAGCAATCAATAAAGAAATATCTGTCGCAAATTTAAGAATTATAATTGGTGCAAATATTTGATATGGGAAATAAATTATGACAATTAGATATGTGAACAACCGGGAACTTCCTCCTTTTGATACATTTCGTCAAATTATCGAAATAATAAATTCCGATTTTCAATTTTATTTCGTGCAAAAAAAAAAAAAAAATATTTAAATAAATAAAATGATTTTCCACTATTAATAAATGTTTTTTAATAACAAATTTCTACATCTAACGGCACTAGGAATCTTTCATTAGATGTTATTTGTAATCAATCATGTTCACCCTTTATTTCATCCAGATGAAAATTCACGTCACTTTCGTATTAATCATCAATGATGAAAGTAAATTATTTACAAATAAAGTGGGTCTCTTCTTTCTCGAAATCCCTTTTACTATCAATATCTATCTAATTTAAGATCAATTAATGTTTGGAATTTAACTTACTACCTACGTAAAATCCAAAATTTCCATTATCTTTTTTTAAAAATTTCAATTTTCCAATGAATTCGTTATTAGCATAACATTGATTAAGTTCATATTGATCAATGTTTCCTTCATATTCTATCCCAAATAAATGGATGTCTTTGAGTTTAATTAATTCAAGATAACGATCAAAATTCTTTAATGAATTAATAATCGATAAGTTATTCCTCTGCTCTTGTAGGATTATCTCACGTAAATTTGGAGCTTCGAAATTTTCAAGAAAATATGGTAAATACTCAATCGTCTGAATATTTCCCAACACTAGTGAAGTTAATGTCGTAGGTAAATTACACGACAAATTTAAAAAAAAGGACGATGTAATTGATTCCACATCAAGAGAATTTCTATTATCACTAATCGATAATTTTAATTTACGAATTCGAAGTTCTTTGATCAACATGAAACAATCGGAGAAATTCGTACGAAGTAATTCAACAATTTCTAAAGATGTAATGTTCTCGCAAAAAGCTAAAATGTATCGAATGGTATCTTCATCCAATTTATTTAAAGAAAGGTTCCTCAAATTTTCTCCCACGAGTTGTAATAATATTGGTTGATAAATTAACGAATAATCATTCTCAAATAAAATCGTCAAACTATCTATAGGTAATTTTAAGTTCCCAAATTCACTAACTTGTTTGGCGTTTTCAACATACAAGTATAATTCACAATCAATTAATCTTAATTCGATTGGTTGATTATTATGTTTTTGTGAAAAAATTAATGAAAAATCCGTGAGATTAATACCCAAAAAATTCAATTCAATCTTCCTTAACCAATTGATATGTAGGTTTAAAGAACTGAATACTGATTTCAGATCAGTTAGGCTAAACATAACAAATTTCAAAGTAATAGATTCCAATCTCCTTTGATTTCTTATCATGTTTATCAAACTACTGTTAAATTGTGGTAAACTTCTATATCTAACAGTACATGGGAAGGATAATGAAAAGTTTTGAATCTGGGCGCATGACGTGGAGATTGCTTCGAAAAGTTTCCTATAAGGTTTTACCTCATAAGTAAAATTAATTTCAACATCTTTGACTCCTTTAATACCAGGCACCGCCAAAGAAAATGTTGAAAAATCGGGAAATTTTATTCTGGTAACGGTAGGTATGTTCATGATTTCACTAATAAATAATGATCGAATGCCCCTTGATTGTCTCATGAACAATTTAAATAAGACGGTTAAGATATTAATATAATATTCTCCTTTTTCCAAAAAAATAATTTTTGGTACCTTGAAATCATAATAAATATATTCAACCCAATTCTTTATGGTGAGATCCAATTTGTCGAATTTAATCACCTCCAAAAATGATGCATAATCAAACAATAATGGTTGCTCATGTGCGAGTGCAATTCCTTTTTGAATTAACCAAAATTTCTCCTCTTGATTTAAACTTTTAAGATAATTATCAAGAAATCTTGAATGTTTTTGATCGGATAATCCTTTAAATCTAAATGGATTATTCCATATCAACGGTACGGTATTCCTACACCATATACGATTGATTAAAAGACATGAAAACAAATTACTATCCACGAATTTTAATATTTCTTGAATACATTCCGTCGGTAATTGACCCATATTTTGTAAAGTGAAGTGAAAGAAGTGAAGAAAAAGGGGTGAATTTTTTTTTTCATAGCAGCAACAAAGAATATATAAATAATATGTCGTGAAACCAAAGATCAACAGGTGTTAAAAAATTTATCCGAATGTCATACGTACAACTTAAACGTAAATAATATTAATAATTATTTTTTATTTAAAATTTAAAAATTTATTACATAATTTTAAAGCAATTGAAAAAAAAAAACTTAAGAAAAATGCATTTTTTATAACAAATTATTAATATAAATTGTTTTAACTTTGTTGGGTTAAATATTTAAAAAATGTAGTTAATATATTTAATAGGGATGGTAACGGTGGGTCGTGGTTCGGTCAGCGGTCGGTCAAAGGCCTTTGACCGACCGACCGGTTAACTGACTGACCGGTTGACCGACCGGTTAATAATATAATAATATAATTAAGCAGTTTAGGCTTAATAGAAATTTTAAGTTAATCAAATATTATATTTTGATTCTTGTTTCAACATTTCTAGCATGACATTTTATTAAAACTACTTTGTCATTTTTATTTAGTAGCGCAGCTAAAGATGGTCATCGGTCCCAGAGGACCTCAGTCCTACCGGTCCTACACCTCAAAAAGATGGACCGCGTAGGACCGGTAGGACCGCAGGTTTTACAGTCTTCCATAATTATGTGATAGACCAATAAGAACGGTTTACCATAACCACAAACCAGGACCGCCGAAAGAATGATCTAAAAATAAAAAAGAAAAATTTTAGAAAGCTTAAAGAAATGAAGCAAGTAACAAAAAAAATGAAGCGGACAAAAGAAAGCGTAATAAAAATGATATATCCATAATTGCCTAAGGAGCCAGAATCGAAAGAGATGAAAGAATGAAGTGCTAAAAAAAATATAGAGGAAATTGTTAAAATTTTAAAGTAACAAAGCGGAGAAAACAAAAGAAACGAAAAATGGAACAAGCTTACCATAATCAGCTACCGAAAGAACCTATAAAAAAAGAAGAAAGTTATATTTATTTATAAACTGAAATGTGGTCTTTCGATCGGTCTTATTATCAGTCTTATTGCGCCAGAAACCACGGTCCGTCCTACATAGACCGGGGCTGGCTTAGATCTGACTGAGTAGGACCGAGTAGGACCAATGAACATCTTTAAGCGCAGCATTATCGTGGACTTTTTATTTTAATTATTCATAAATTTAAATTTGTAAATTTTTAAAATAAAATTAATGTTGATTTGTTAATTTAATACAAAGTATTTTTACTATTTAAAACATGTTTGTTAAGTCTCAAGTCAGTCAGTCAACTGGTTGGTTTAAATCGGTCAGTTCAGTCGGTCAACCGGTCAGTCAGAAGCCTTTGACCGACCAATATCAGTCACGGTTACGACCGGTCATGACCGTAACTATTAGCATTCCTAATATTTAAGAAACTATTAGTCATTCATAATTAAATTTCTATAATATACTAAAATATTAATAAATATGAAATATTTAAATAAATTTATTATTTTAACAAAAAAATTTTAGAATTAAAATTTCAGCTTGTGTTTTACAAAAATATCTGAACAATCAATATAGATACAAGCTAATTTCATTCTTTTTAAAATTTTTTTAATCAATCTTAGATTTAATTCAGCTTTTTTAAAGATAAATTTTAAGAAGTTTTAATATTTTTTTATTTTTAGTCAAATTTTCTAATATTTAATTATTATTATAAGAATTTATGTAAATTATTAATTATTTTAAAAAATTTATTTTAGAATAAAATTAAAAATTAACTATAAAAATTATCTTTTATTAGTAATTATTTTGATTATTTTAATAAAAAATATATAAATTACTTATTTTTTACATAAGTTACTAATACTTGTCAAAATAGTCCAAATCAGCTAGAAATCAGATGAATGAATTTAGGCAGATTTTGATATTATTACAGCTGATTAGTCATATTTTCTGATTAGTACAAATTGATGCTGATTAATATTGATCAAATATAGCTATTTAGCATCAATTCAGAACTTAAATTCAATTATATTCAGCTTAAAATACTACTAATTAATTACAATCAAATAAGCAATTCAACATTAATTTAGAATTTAAATCAATTTAAAATACTACCAATTAATTCTAAATAATCAAGCAATTCAGCATTTATTTAGAATATAAACAACTATAGATCAGCTTAAAATTGGCCTTAATTAAGCATTAATTTAGTCAAATAAGCATATAAAATCAATACAATTTTATTTAATTAAATTTATTAAATATTAAAATTTTATTAATAATAAAAATCTAATATAAATTCACAAATTATAACAAAAATATACCAAAACTTACTATTTAATTTTCTATTAAAAAAATATAAACAAAAAATAAAAAACTATACAAATAATAATATAATAATTAAATATGATCTATTTTCTCCTAAATCTCTTAAAATTATCCTAAATATTTATTACTATAATATTACTATTATTAAAAAAAAAGATCATAATAATAAAAATATGATCTATTTTCCTTTTAAAACTCCTTTAAAATTATCTAAAAAATGTAAAATTAATAAATAAAATAATAAAAAATAAAAAAAAATCTACCTTTTTCTACCAAATTACTTAAAATTTATCTATTTTCTATTATAAAAAAATAAAAAAAATCAGTTTATTATTTAAATAATTAATTGGTTGATCTATAAAATTCAACTTATATTTTAGCTTTTTCTTCATTTGATTTTGATAATTAGAGACAATTTTGTAATTTTGTATTTATTATAAAAAAGTAAAAAAAATTAGTTTAAAATTCAATTTACATTTCAGCTTTTTCTTCATCTAATTTTGATAATTAGAGATTCTTCAGTTTTATATCTATTATAAAAAAGTAAAAAAAATTGGTTTATTATTTAATAAATTAATAAAATTCAACTTACATTTAAGCTTTTTTTTCATCTGATTTTAATAATTGGAAATAATTTTATAATTAATTTCTATTATAGAAAATAAAAAAATCAGTTTATTATTTTGAAAAGTTGATTAAAATTAACTTAAGTTTTAGCTTTTTTTTATCTAAATTTGATAGTAAAGGTATGTTTTTATTATAAAAAATAAAATATATCAGTTTATTATTTTGAAAAGTTAATTAAAATTCAACTTAAGTTTTAACTATTTTTTCATTTGATTTTGATAATTAAAGATATGTTTCTTTTATATAAAATAAAAAATCAGTTTATTATTTTAAAAAGTTAACTAAAATTTAACATAAGTTTCAGTCTTTTTTGTTTGATTTGATTGTTAGAGACTGATTTTATTATAAAAAGTAAAAAATAGTTTATTTTTGAAAAATTGACTGGTTAAATAATAAAATTTAACTTAAGTTTTTCTTATTCTTAGAATGATTTTTATTAGCATTTTAGTAACATGTAAAAAATAAATTTGAAAAAAGTTAAATTTGATTGTAAAATGATAAAGTTTAAGTTAAAATTATTTATTTAAAGTAAAAAAATTAAGATTATTTATGTAAATATTTTTATATATATCAGAAATAAATTTAAATAAAATATTAAATTAATATTAATAAAATCGTTTTTTTAATTTAATAAGTTCTTCAAATGTTAAATATTATTTTAATAAAAAAATATTGAATTATAAAAAAATTTTAGTTTAATCTGAGAGTTCAATTTAATTAAAATAATAAATATATCATTTTAAATGATTCAATTTTTAGTTTTATTCATCTTTTAAATTAAATTTGATTGATCAAAAATTGAAATCAAAAATTATTTATTACTAAAATGATCAAATGAATAATTAACATGATTAACATTTTTATTCCATCTTGATTGATTTTAATAAATTAATTCAAATTTACTAATTTTATAAGATAATAATAAATGCAATTTTTTTTTAAAATTTGACATATTTAATTTAAAATGTTTAACTCAAATTCTATCTTTTATTCAATTACCCTAAAATTATAAGAATTTTTTATATAAAATCCAAATATTATATTTATAATAACCTTTAACTCAATTTATATACTATTTATTCATTACTACTGATTTAATTTATTGTTATTACTAATACTATTCTAATATTCATTAAACTAAAAATTTATAAAAAAAAGTATAAAAAAGATAATTCTAATAATGTTTCTCAATCTGAATCTGTTAATAAAAATAAGACTAGAATAATAAAAATATAAAATTATTGATAAATTTTCTTGAAGAAAATTATTTAGTTATAAAAAAAAATAAAGTCAAATTTTGCTAAAATAGCTTTTAATAAAATTTTTCAAGAAATTATAAAAACATATTAAAAATAAATTAAATTAATTAGTGACTAAAATATAATAATATTAAAGAAAATAAAATAAAACAGAAAGAAAAGCATAAGCAAAATAAAAATAGTTTGAAAGAATTGATACTTTATTTAATAGTTAAGTTATCTAATAATGTTAAATTATTTCATAGTTTTGAAAAAAATAAAAATCTGAAGAAAATCCAATAAAAATAAAAATGATCAAGTTAATAAAAAAAGAAAGTTAACTTTATAAGAACTATTAATTGAAGCTATAATTTTTATAAGTAATATATGATAAACAATATGAAAAAATAATTTATTTTTGAAAATAAACAGTTGAAAAGAGATAAATGGTTAAAAAGAAGCAGAAATGATTTATAAAAAAGAAGAATTAGCAATTGAGTAGTTTAAAACTAAAACATCAAAAAAAATAAAATTTGATATAAAGCAATTATATATAAAATTTTAGCTTAAAATAAAAGAACAAGAGTTAAAGATGATGAATTTAAATTATTTTCAAAATAATCATGCTAATAACAATTTAACAATAATAATAGTAATAATATAATAATAATAGTAGTATAATAATAATAACAATTTATAATTAAATTTGAAAAGTTATAATTATAACATTTTACAGTAATGGTCATAGTATCTGATCACTAATATTTTCTAAAATCAAGTAATAATATTCATTAAAATTTTCAAAAATTTAAGTTCAATACCAATGTTGATCATATATAAAATTATAGATTTGTATCATGTATAATTTAGAAGTTAGATGATCAGTAGATTTTTTATTTTAAAAAAAAATAACATTTTTTTATGTAAATAATTTTATTTTTTATTATTTAATACCTAAACTCCTTAAATATATAGAATTTTTTTTAATATATTAATTTTTTAGGAGTTATTACACATTTTTTATAGAAT